CGAGTTCAAATTTCAGTCGAATTCATTGCATTCACTTACATGCTAATACCCTTGGGAAAGGTATGAATCCTCTTCTTCTCCCCCAGCTATGGGTAAATAGCAGGACAGACTGGGTTCTATAGCCATGGATGGCAACTGATCTACTGCAGAAAGAAATGACAACCTACTGCAGGAAAAAAATCTGCCTCGTCAGTCATGTATCAAAAAATACGTGATCGCCTACAAGTATATCATGCATGGTACATAACTGAACTGAACAAGGAAAAATATGGAGTGGAAAAATCTAGTTATTAAAAATGTTTGCCATCAAGAGCAACTGGCCAAGATATGAGCACACAATTGAAGATGTCTAAATCAAGCAAGTGCTGCAATTTAAATATCTGCTAAGTGTTTTAACAAATGACACATTCGAATAGGGAAAAATGCATTCCATATGCCAAACAAAGTACCAAGACATGAAAATTTTGTTAGAAACAGAGAAGAATGCTTAACCGCGATATAGCAATCCTCTTGTATGACAGTGAATGCTGGACAATTTTCTCAAAGAGGAAGTGGAGACTTGAGGCTAGAGAGGTGTGGTTCTACAGAAGGATGCTGAGAATACTCATGGATAGCAATAAGGAATTTTCAAAGAAAATGGATACAATTGAGAAAAGAAAGCCTGGAAAATTGGTGTATATTGCTGCTGGAATCAAATAAGATGCCAAACACTTATATTTAAAAAAATATAAATATCTTTATTTTCAAGTTGTGGTAATTGGGTAGAGTGTGGGAGTATCACAGAGGTTAGGATTGAGTACACAGGAATTGACAGAAACAAATCTTCAATGAAACTCTAGCCAGCCTCTCTGCCAGACCAAGAATTAGACCAGTTTTATAACATTTGGATACCCACACAACTTTATGTGGCTACACCTTCTTCCAGTATGTTGCATCCACAACTTCTTGTGACCGCACCTCTTCAAACAAGCATTTCCTTCCACTCAGGATAACTATGTGCCTTGTTTATTCAAGGCTTAGGACACTTGTGCATCCTATTTATTTTAGCCACCAGATGCATTTCCTGTTTATGCTATCACCAGTTCTGATTTTCACTCACTCTCTGATGCAGCGGAAGTGAGGTCAAAGGTCTTCTTCAACTGATATCCCAAACTATTGAAGGCAAGAGTGGCACTTCAACATGATGCAATGATTAGCCAGCTCACCTTGCTAGATTAATTACAACTGAGTAGTGAGTTCAATCATCAATGGTTGCTCCAAACACTTGGCCTTGTGCCACATCTAAGCTAAGATTAGAAAATCACCTTATTGAATGCAAGAGAGAAAGAGAGAGGAAAGCAGTAAGTAACCTATCTAAAAAACTTGTGTAAATGGATGGCAGAACGGAGATTCGGTGAGATAGTAAAAAGGCAAATTGCTTAGAGCTACAAAGGATAGGAAGTTGTGGAGAGCCATAATTGCTAATGACATTACCTTGGGGACTCAGGTTGATTCCATGACCTGAAGCTTCCATCATCACTGACCTTTTCCATACACACAAAAATTGAAAAAATTCAATGTTCAGCAACCAGCAAAGAAATTGATAGCAATTGTGATTTGGGATACAAATGACTGACATGCTCAGTTAACAAAGTCAGATATAGTGAAATGCCAGACGAGCTGTATGTCCAAAGAGAGCAGGACTTATACATAAGAGTGTCATGATTCTGCACAAGAATAATATCTTAGGCAGAGCCATTCTGACTAAACAGTGACTTTAAAAATTATGATTTTTTATTTATCCATCACATAGTCTTGGCTTGGACATGTCTATTAGTCTTAATGGCAATTATACAGAAAAATATCATAATATTACTGGTAATATACCCAGAGATGAATATGCAATGTGATAGGTCCTGATCTGGCATCTAGTCTACAGTCACTTTCTCACAGACGTGCTGTGGCTTCCCTCTGTCTTCTACAAGTATTTTCATGGCAACTGTTCCAACAAGCTACTTTTCACTGGTTCCCAGACTGCATGAATTTAAGCAAGCTACTTTCACTGTACCCTTTCACTGTTGAAACAGTTAAATGTAACAGCCTCTTCGACTCAATCAGCTTCTTCTCTTGCACTTCCCATCTGTGGAACTCCCTTCCCCTTGCTTGCTTCCCCAATGACTATAATCTTCAAATAGTCAAATAGTCAATCAACATCTGACCCCCTGAGCTTATTCCTCATCCTTCTCTGTATCCTTTCCTCAAACATGCCTCTTTACTCTTCTCAATCCTCTGTAATCCCTTGCATGCTAGTGGTACTCCTGCCTTGCTTGGGGTGAATTGCTTTAAAAAAATATATATATACAATGTTTTATTTATATAGTAATATTGGACAGTATTTTACTTTTTAGCCATCCCTCATAGAATAAAGTATGGAAAAACAAATAAAAAGAGTTTGTCATTGATTATGAACTAAAACAAGTCTTACAGAGATGATCATGTCATATAAATGCATTTCTTATGATGTTACTATAAAATATAATGTAAATGATTTTACTAAATAAATGCAGAAAATCATTTTTTTTAAATCATTTCACCCCAAGTAAGGCATTAGTTAAGATGCAAGGGGTGAAAGTGAACTTTAGTGAGGAGAAAAAACAATGAAGGAACAGAATTCTGGAAGCCAGAAGATGTTGATTGGCATTGCATTTTAATTGTTGAAGATCGTAGGTGGCAGGTAGCAAGAAGCCAGAAGAGATTTCCACATTAACAAAATAAACTATTAGAATAGAACTTACAGTTAGATTTAGTTATTTCAACAGTAAAATGAGGAAATGTAGATGCCAATCTTGTAGTCGGCTTAAATTCATTGTTATAATGTGATCTTCTCTAAGGAGAAGACCTCATGAGAACAATTGGCATTAAAATATTTATGCAAAAGACAAAAGAAGCCACATGAGGGTGGTGGAAAAGTGACTAAAGTGACAGGTCAGGACTCATAATATTGCAGACCCTTTGGATTTTATCTAGAATCTCAAGATATATATTTGCAGTACAGACATGCATGGGTAATAATATTATGTCAAAAAAAGCCTTGTAAATAACTGAAAAATAGAAATTACTGAAAATCAGCAAAAGCTATTGTCCCTGACCTGGGATTAAGGCAAGCATTACTGGCAAAATAGGTTAATATATGTAGATGTAAATGCATTGCTGATCATTAACTATAGAAATGAATTGCAAATAATATTTATAAATACATTCTAAATTAATTTAACTATAGGAATGCATTGAAAATCAGGAAAAATTATTGTTATTAGTCAAGAATTGGTGCAAGTATTACTGACAAAACAGAATTATTATATATATATATATATATATATATATATATATATATATATATTTTTTTAAGCATTACGTCCCGAACAAGGCGTGAAGCCACTAGGATGCAGGGGGTTGCAGAAGATTTGGAGCGAGAGCAGATAGGAGTGATAGAAGAAAGGATGAGGAGAAGGATAGTGGGTAGATCAAGGTAATTGGAGATGTCGATTGACATTACATTTGAATAGTTGGAGATTATAGCTCTCAGGGAAACAGTAATAGGGAAGGGTGTTCCACAGGCAAGATGTGCGAGGTATGAAGCTATTAAAGTAGAAGAGACGGCTACATTTGAAAGTTTCTACAGTGAAAGGGTGAGAGCGGGATGCCATCCTCGTAGGGGGCTTGAATTCATGAAGTCAGGGAACCAGTGAAAGCAGCTCCTCGGAGCAATTACCATGAAAGTATTTGTAAAAAAGACAGAGAGAGGTGACAGCGAGTCTGTAAGAGAGCAACTGTAGATGAGATGCCAGATAAAAAGTAAATGTATGATTAATAATTTTACTATAGAATTCGCATTGCAAATAATATTTAGAAATATATTCTAAATTAATTGAACTAAAGAAATGCATGGAAAATCAAGAAAAAATATTTTCATTTATCAGGAATTGAGGCAAGCATTTCTGACAAAACTAAATTATTATATATAAAAGTAAATGTATGATTAATAATTTTACTATAGAATTTGCGTTGCAAATAATATTCAGAAATATATTCTAAATTAATTGAACTAAAGAAATGCATGGAAAATCAAGAAAAAATATTGTCATTTGTCAGGAATTAATGCAAGCATTACTATGTAAATGTAAATATATGATTAATAATTTTACTATAGATTGCATTGCAAATAACATAATGACAGGAAAGCATTAAAAACGATTTTTACTATAGATTAAGAAAGAAATGACTGTTAGCGATCAGGAATAAAATCTTACTGGCAGAATAAGGCTATTATATGGATAATATAATACTATTATTGTTAAGTGGCTGAAGCACGCACATGTGAAGCAGTGAGGAGTGCCTGCAGTGAAAGAGAAAGATAGCATATTTATACCGTATATAATGTTTATACAAAACTATTTGTTAGATTCCTTGCCCTTTAAGCATGTCAAGTATAAAATAGAGGCATAAATATAGCATCTTTTTTTTTTTACTTCTTTTGTGGAATCTCTACAATTATTTTCTCACCCATATTTATACAAATATTTTATACAACATAAATAGACTATGTTTACTCCATTCCCACCAGCACTGCACACTGCTTCCTGCCTGTTCATGACCACCTATGTTATCCATCCACTTAAAAAAGTGATGTCATCCACTTAGGAACCTCAGGATTAAAGTATCTCAGGAAACCATATAAAGAATTTGCCACTGCCTATTTCAATATAAATCATCATTCTTTTGCCGAGGGCTATGGTGAGTTTGCCACTTACAACTACTCTGCTTGTCTTTAGACCAATTTTTAGAATTCATGCCATTCTTGGACACTTTCTGCTCCCAGCAACACCTAGACAATATGTGTCACTACCATCTTGAACAACCTTTAATAAACCTTCACTACTTGCCAATATACAGATTTTCTGTCCTCCAGTCCAATATATTTTTTCTTTCTCTTTATTTTTTAAGGGTTTGTTTCTTATTATTCAATAATTACAAGGTTGTTTCTGGTTTCTCAGTGATAAATAAGTAGATGTGTAATAACTGATGTAGGTAAATAAGTGACAGCTACATCTATATGAAGAGAATGAGGTAAAGCGACAAGTATGAACAAAGAGATAGATAGATAGATAGATAGATAGATAGATAGATAGATAGATAGATAATGGCCAGTTACTTGTTTCCAAGCAAACCCAGTTCTGTCAATACAATTTCACTCGTGCTTAGATAGATAGATAGATAGATAGATAGATAGATAGATAGATAGATAATGGCCAGTTACTTGTTTCCAAGCAAACCCAGTTAGTTCTGTCAACCTAATTTCACCTGTGCTGAGATAGATAAATTTGAACAGCCTGAGGATAGATAGATAGATAGATTTAAGCAGCCTGAGGATAGATAGATAGATAGATAGATAGATAGATAGATAGATTTGAACAGTCTGAGGATAGATAGATAGATAGATAGATAGATAGATAGATAGATAGATTTGAACATGAGGATAGATAGATAGATAGATAGATAGATAGATAGATAGATAGATAGATAGATAGATAGATAGATTTGAACAGCCTGAGGATAGATAGATAGATAGATAGATAGATAGATAGATAGATAGATAGATAGATAGATAGATAGATTTGAACAGCCTGAGGATAGATAGATAGATAGATAGATAGATAGATAGATAGATAGATAGATAGATAATGGCCATCTGATCTTCAGTCTGTTCTGTCTACTCAATTTCACTCGTAGGGCTTTGGTGAAAACTGTCTTTTTTTTTTTGCATTACTTTTCAGCAGTGTTCCCCAATCCCATAACATCAAAAATTCACCCCCTTAACAAATCGACCATGGTGAGATTTGAATTGGGGTGTCACAGTTGGAAAACAGATATTCTAACCACTCAACCACATGTCTACAGATACATAATGACTACAACTGAAAAGAATTTATCTATACTTAATACAAAGTTTGTTGCAAATACTTCACATAAAAAATTATTGTTCTTATTATTTTATTTCCTTTGGTTTCTACTGTAAACTAATTTCTTTCTGGGTCCCAACCAGAGACATAAGTTCAAAAATGACATCATGACATTTTTCACTGAGCAGTTTTGCAAAGAAAAAAAAAACGCATATATTTTCCATAGACAAAAGCCCTTTGTAAGATGTGGGCTGTACTTGTGAGTACAATTTTTTGTATTTCTTTAAGGCATAAGCTACCTGGGATTTCTTAAATGAGTCTATTGGAATCTTTTCCAATCAATCTGAAGGCTCCAACTACAACTGGAATTATTAATGTCCTCATGTGCCACATTTTTGAGATTTCGATTTCAAGGTCCTTGTATTTTGATAGTTTTTTGAAGATCTTCAAAGATACATTGCAGTCTGCAGGGACTGCCATATCAATAAGGAGAGACATTTTTGTCTTTGCATTTTCTAATCATGATGTCAGGATGATTAGCTTTGATTGCACTGTCTATGTGCATTGTAATTCTTCTGTCTACATGTATTGTAATTATTATTATTATTATTATTATTATCATCATCATCATCATCATCATCTTTTTTTTTCTTCTTCTTCTTTTTCCTGTCCTTGGTAGCTCAGTAAAGTTAGTCTTTTTGCTATCTCTCTTAATCCCTGCTATGACAACCATTTACACAAACTCAGTAGGTAGGTTATGCACTGCTTTCCTCTGTCCCTCTTGCCATAAATATCTACTGTGAGTATCAAAATTTCTGAGCCTTCTTTCTTCATTATGTGTCCTAGAATTTTCAGTTGTCTCTTTCCTATGCTAACTATATGTGTCCTTTTTGTTTTTATTTAAATAATTTCATTGCTCTCATGTTTAGCCCATTGTATTTTCAGTATTCTTCAGCAGAACTACACTTCTATTGCTTCTGGTCTCTTCTTCATCTGTGAGGAGATTGTCCAGCATTCACTGCCATATAGGAGGACTGATATTACATAACAGTTAAGTACTCATTTTTTTATTTCTAAGAAAATTTTTCTGCTTCTTAATACTTTGATTAGCTCTAGAAAGGTATCATTTGTCATAGATTCAGATTTTGGTATCGCATTTTCTGTCCTCTGTTAAAACGTTTCCTAGATATTTAAATTATTGTACATGCTTGATTTTGGCATCTCCAATTTGTAATTTGCATGATGGGCTGCCCCTTTTGCTAACAACCATAAATTATATCTTCTCACAATTAATGTATATTCCTTTACAAAACAATATACTCAATGCAATAGTTATTCATCATAATAATTTTGCCCATAAATTTGACGTAGGAATGCAGTTTTAATTAAAAGGGAATGTAATTTATTATGGCAAAAAATATATAGAATGTGCACCAATTTCTGCGTTTTCCATAGTAATTTTGCATTTAGAATCATACAGAATATCACCTCCCTTAGTGAAAACTACTGCGATTACAATGTAGGATATTTAAAAACAACAGTGATAAAAATATAACATTAAAATTTTAAGCTAAGCATCCAGGCATTTTCAGTGTTTCCCTCAATGTATAAATATATTCGACATTTATTTGATTTCATTTTCTATTTCTTCTACATATATATGATTTCTTTCAATAAAAACATTAGTCTGATGAAGTCCTTATAAAGGATAAAATGTGTCACATAAGATTTGTTACCATTTTTTTCCAAAATTAGTCTGTTATATAGAGATTATATATCATATTCTCAAATAGATAGATAGCTAGTTAGATAGATATGAATAGACTGAGATAGATATGAATAGAATGAAATAGATAGATAGATAGATAGATAGATAGATAGATAGATAGATAGATATGAATAGAGATATGAATAGACATAGATAGATACATAGATAGATATGAATAGACCAATAGATAGATAGATAGATAGATAGATAGATAGATAGGATAGGATACAGATAACACAAAAAGAGTGAAATGTCCAAAATAAAATAAAAGATCACAACTAACCAAAAAAATTAAAATATTTTTCTGTCAATCAAAACACAGTGATCAGATTTCAAATCACTGTTTTCTGAATTCTATTTGCAACTATAAATGGTACTTAAGAGTCATGACACATCTGTATGGATTTGGCGACTAAATATGGCAATTCTGCTAAAAACAGCATAAAACTGGAATTGAGCAATGTTAGTAACATTTTTGGTATGTACTTGTATTTATACGATCAACATATCAAGTGAGTTTCAGTTTAAAGTTCTATTTCTGTTTGGAATATTTACAATATTTTATCATGCTACTATCAGGGCCATGAGTGAAAAAGAACCAATGGACTTTGCCAATGAAAAGGTCAAGCAACTATTGCAGGAAATGTTGAAACTTGAAACTGAACTTTTCACTGTTCGAAAGCATTTAATTCTTCACAAACAGAATAAATGTACTCATGTCTGTTTAAGAGTTGACAAAATAAGACACCATTTGGAGACTCCATCTGCTGGATATTTTAAAGTGCTAAAATAAACTGTAAAGTATTTTATATTGATCACCACTCTGAGGACAAGACAAATGTCTCTTTGAACAGATCAAAGCCTGTAACACAACTACGACAGCCTTCATCTGAATCAAAACCTGAGCAAGCACCACTGTCTTATAGTGGCACAACCTAGGAAAATAAAACTGTTTAGAAAGATGCTTCAGACAAGGACTCTTTGAGTTTGCAGTAATCTCAAATTTAACTTCCTTCTAGAACTACATGCTCAAGAAGACTGAATGGATTCTACTATTTTACTTAGAAACACCATTTCTGGATAGATATGAGTTGAGGCAGTTAAAAAACAAAAAAAATAAAATAAAATAAAAAGAATCCCTTTTTCCATCATGCAAAATAAAAAAAAATGGAAACATAATGCCTTTAATCAGCTGACCCTGATCTCAGAACTCTAAAACTAGGCTCTCATTTTTACTTTGCTAGGATTGAACAATAACTGATAACTCCATAAACTTGAATCCAGATATAAGATCAAGATGCTAAAAATGACTAAAGACTCTTATTATCATTTAACCATAATCAGGATCATTGAACCAATGCAAATACTTTCTTTAGCAGCATAGTATGTGCTATGTCAGGGTTACATACAGTTTTGAATTAAGAGTTATTTTCTTCTAGACCAGTTGCCACTTAAGGCTACAGAACCCAATTTGTCCTGCTATTTACCCTAAGCTGAGGGGAGAAAAGAGGATTCATGCCTTTCTCAAGGGTTTTAGCACATAAGTGAATGTAATGGATCCAACTGGAATTGGAATTCGGCTCTCTGATTCCTCAATCCAAGCCACTATCCATTTCTCTACCATGCCTCTTACTAGGCCATCATCTAAATCACAGCATTCATCTGCTCTACTTGCATATTAATAGGAGTAGATATGTTTGCTTATCATCCGGTTCACACTCCTTCCTGGTCTTTTGAAAAGGAGTAGAGGTTTATCGCTTGTTTCCTGTTTAGGATTGGGTTTGCGGTCTACTTCAACTCTATACTTCTAAAATCTCCACCAAAACTCTGAAATATTATTTATTTATTTTCTTCCTTCATTAGAAGTAGATATGTTTTCTGAAGAGGAGTAGAGTTTTCTCCCTTGTTTCCTGTTAAGATTGGGTTTCTGGTTCCTTCTGAAGTCTTCTTCAACTCTATACTCCTAACATTTCTACCTAAACTCTCAAATTTTATTTACTATTCAGGTTTTCTCCTCCTGTTCACACATCTCACTAGTCTTTTGAACAGGAGTAAAGGTTTATCCCTTGTTTCTGGTATAGGATTCTGGTACGTTCTTAAGTTTTCTCATTCTCTTTCACTCCCACTAGCCTCTTGTGCCCTAGTGGCATTATCACCTTTTTTGGGGTTAAGTGATTAAAAAAACAATATTATTATTGCTAGACTTTTGTAAATTACCACTGTAATGAAGAAAACCTACTGTTTCTCTCTGTGTTTGTGGAATCTTAACACATTATGTGTCAGAGAATTATTTTACACCTTTGATACTGTTGTGGCCTGTTTAGGGGCCAGAAAGAAAGACAGGGAAGATGAAGATAGATTGAAAAAATATATTGAAGGTATATACAAAACAATAGTGTTAGTAATAAGTAGATTAGCACTGCATCTACTACTCCACTTCACTTCCCTGACTCTCGCAATTTGTATTTATGAGAGGAGGAAGAGTTCATTCTATTGTAGGAGGGTTTACCACAACAGATACACCCATCACAAATTCAGGAGTTGTTCATTCTATTGTAAAATGATATATATAATAGCATCGAACATGAACAGGCACCTAATGATAATCCCAAAGATTTTTGCAGATGGTTTTGAAAAGTAGAAGACACTAGGATAAGTGTTGAACTCCAAGTAGAGAAGATTGCAAAAGACTTAGGTAGTAGTATATAGAATGGAATTCAACACAGAGAAATCCAAGGACAAGCAATGCCAGTGCCAGCATCAACATAGATGGTGAACCACCAGAGGACGTGTCCAGCTTCAAATACTTTAGAACAACACTGTCAAAAGATGGTACCCACAGCACAGAAATCTGCACATAGACCACCACAGCCATAGATGGCCAGTCTGGAAAGGATATGAAAAAGCAACTTAAGCTTACAGACTATGCTCAAGCATTAAAAATCACTGATCATATCCATGCTCCTCTGTGAGTACAAGACTTGGACAGTCCTTCTTGAAGCAGAAAAAATGATCCAGGCA